TAGGAAAGTTGACGTTTTGGGTCGGGACCCTTCTTCAGAATGAAAAGGAGGGTCTGAAGAAGAGTCCCAAACTGAAACGTCAGCTTTCCTACTCCTCTGATGCTGCCTGGCCTGCTGTGTTCCTCCAACTCCACACTTTGTTATCTGACTCCAGCATCGGCAGTTCTTACTATCTCTGCTGAAATTTAAGTGACCAGGTTCAGAATGGTTCAAAACACAGATAGAAGATTCACTTGTGCTTGGGTAGGGGGAAGACTGTCCAATTTATCCCTTGTCTTGAAAGTCAGTTCTGGCATTAGGAGCGAACCAATTGGGAAGGGAAAAGAAACAAACAAGACCTTGGGTGCTCGGAATCTCCTTGATCGATTCCTGGAGAATAAAGTGTCCACTTCAGAATACGGCATACCCACGAGGTTTAATTTTCAGTTGTTTTTGAAGTTATTGGAAAGCATTTCTACAGTTTGTAATATATATTGACTAAATATTTTTCCAGGAAAGAATATTGTTTTTTGAAAATTGGTTATGGCCGAAGACTAAAACTTGATACCTGGTCATGGGAGCATTTCAATCAATCAGTCACCATAAATTCAGAGATAGTAAGAACTGCCGATGCTGGAGTCAGAGATAACAGTGTGGAGCTGGAGGAACACAGCAGGCCAGGCAGCATCAGAGGAGCAGGAAAGCTGACGTTTCTGAAGAAGGGTCCCGACCCGAAATGTCAGCTTTCCTGCTCCTCTGATGCTGCCTGGGCTGCTGTGTTCCTCCAGCTCCACACCATTATCACTATAATTTCAAATTTTTGTTTAAGCTGTTCTTGGTCTCTACAAAGGAGCTGAAGGCTGGCCAGTACTGAGCTATTTCCAACCCCTGCTCAACTCTTCTTCATGCTCACTTGCTTCCTAACACAAACGGCCTCAGAACGTTCCCACGGAGATGACTTTCCTGGTCAGGATCTGGGGGCACACATGCGAGGGTGTGTGTGCGTGCGCATTCATGTATAAGCAAGCAAGAGTGTGAATGCAGAGGGATGTGAATTTGTGTGGGGGTTTTGGGGACCGTGCGTAGATGTGTAGGGCTGTGCATGCATGCAGTTGAGGAGGTGTGTGGGGACAGGTGTGAGTGTAAGGGTGTGCGTGTGTATAAGGGTGCCTCTAGGTGTCTATGCACACACCGAGTGTGACAAAGCAACATTCTGTGCTATTATTCGCCTATGTAGATGAATTCTCAAATACTGCACACAAACAAAACATTCAGGTTTCTCCATATAACCAAAGTTATGAAAACTTAGACATTGAATGTAATGTTGAGATGTGTTGCTTTTACTAACAGATTCCATGAAATAGAGTCAGATTTGATTTAAAAAAACTACTGATATTCCTCAACATGCTACAGCGGAAAAACATTTCAAATCTTTACACGCTTCACTGGAACGTTTATGCATTCCCATGGCAACTACAACACACTGAACACGTCTGGGAATTAAACATACCTCTTCAAAAAACATGAACCTCATGAACTGGCCCATTGCTCAAGAGATACAACTGCCAGAAAAGACTCTGTGTATTTTAATGTGTTTTAAAACCTGACGGAGGAATTTGTGATAATGAGCCAGTTGAAGCCTGGTCATACAGCAGCTTGGTTTATGTAATGGACAGCTATTTATTAGCTCCCCATGAACTTTGAATTCTTCTGGGTTCATTCACGGCCCATTCACACGCTCACACAACTTGGAGCATCGACTTACCTGTAGATAGGATCCTGCATAATCAACATCTTGCTCTCATCCCAGGTCCACTCTTTCTTCTGCAGATAAGAACAAAAAGCAAAATATTTTAGCAGTGATACGTTGTCAATTTAACCTGCGAGTGTCAGATACGCCAGTGAAACCTGCCAGCTCTCTGGGAAATGGGTGTACTCATCTTGAGTGAAACTGCTACATGAAGCTGCAATGTCACTCCGAATCCAAAAGGATTCGAATATAAAAGATTATAATCACAACTAAGTGGGGTAGTGGCAGAGTGGTAAAGGCATTGGACTAGTAATCCAGAGAATCTGATTTCAGGGATCAAATCCTATCATCATTGATCCGGTGGAATTTAAGTTCTGTTAATAACTTTGGAATTCCAAACTAGGACTTGGTAAAGGTGACCACAAAACGATTGATTTTTATAAAACACAACTAAACTCATTCATATCTTCCCCACCCCCAAAAAAAAACTATAAACAGTACTCCAGATGTGGTCTCTTCCAAGACACTAACTGCAGAAAAACATCCTCTCTTTTTTAATGCATTCCCCCGGCAATAAACACTAACATTCCATTTGCCTTCCTCATCACTTGCTGTGCCTGCGAACTAACTTTATTTCTTTGCGATTCACGCGCCAGGAAATCCAGATCCCTCTGTACCTACATGTTCTCCAGTCTCTCTCCATTTAAAAATAGCAAACTGCTCTTCTATTCCTCCTGCCAAAGTGCACAAGTTCAGATCTTCCCACATTATATTCCTTCTGCTAAATTTTTGCCCTCACTTAATCTATATTCCTTTGCGAACTCTTTACCTCCTTTCCACAACTCACTTTCTTCCTTATCTTGCCGTCATCAGCAAATTTAGCAATCATATTTAATCCTCACATTCAAATTATTGATTTAGGTTGTAAATTGTTGAGGACTCACCACTGATCTCTGTGGCACTCTACTGGCTACAGCTTGTCAACTTGAAAGTTACACATTTATTCCTATTCTCTACTTCCTGTCAATAAATCCCTTATCCAAGTTAACATGGTTTACAGACTTTATTTTGCAGCGTAACCTTTGATGTGGCACTTTGAATATCAAAGTATGCTACATTGTCAGCTCCCCTTTATCCACCTTGTTGTTTACTTGCTCAAAAGTCTCTAATAAAGTAATGAAGCACATTTGTCCTTTCCAAAAAAAAGCACACAGACTGCGTCTAACTCTATCGTGATTTTCTAAGTATCCTGCTATAACCTCCTTAATAATGGAATCTGGCAATTTTCCTAGGATGAAATGTTAAGTTAATGAACCCATAGATTCTTGCTTCATGTCTCCCCCTTTTCTGAACAATAGTGTTACTAATGTTTTTTCATCCAAAGTCTGTTTGTATAACAAAGTTTTTTTTTGTAAAATTCCAATGAAAAATCCACACAGTTATCACCGTGATCCAAATAAAAGGCCAAGTTTACATGCTATACAGAGAACTTTATTTTGCAATACCACTAATTTAGATTTGCACCAATCCGAGATATTATCCTATGTGATAATGCTGATGCACAAAAGAGATTTAGAGATCATGCATTACAAATTTATCTGAACTTTAGAAAATCTACTCTCTCAAGGCTTTGAGAATAACCAGTAATGTAAACTTGTCAACGAAAGACCAGAGACAAATATATCAAACATAAAAGGCAACAGGAAAGAAAAAGTCAAAAAACAGACTATAAATTATCTACTATTCATTGTCTTTCTATCTCTACCTGCCAATCTGCTAATAAATTTGTCATTTGATTGGTTTCTTCCACATTCCAAAAATGATCACACTTCAAAGTCACTTCATTAAGTATACTGAACTTTGGGACATCCTGGAGATGTGCAAGCACCCTTTCTTTATGCTAGCATATATAATGAACTGCTATTTTTGTGCTTATAAACTGGATGTTAGGTCCAAACCTCAAGCAGTTCTCCTCAATATTAGTGGTCCTGCTTAGCCCCAATATCATGGGTGCAGACTGAAATTGGTAGGACTGCCAAGGCTGTTATTTGTAAAGAATACATCTGGAAATCCAACAAATCCAACATAATTTTCCTTCATTGACTGTAATCAGCATTATATGAGCATACAGTCCACTTATCGATGCTTCCAGGTCTTTGGTGTCTTTGCTAGGGAGCTGAACATTCTACATCCTGTAATAAAAACCAAAAGAACTGCGGATGCTGTAAATCAGGAACAAAAACAAAAGTTGCTGGAAAAGCTCAGCAGGTCTGGCAGCATCTGTGAAGGTAAAAACAGAGTTAACGTTTCGGGTCTGGTGACCCTTCCTCAGAACACTTCTGTGTCTATAAATGTATATGTCTAAATGTTATGAGTAAATGTCTATAACCAGGGTGGTGGTAAACTGACAAGATTGGGTGATTCCCATGATTGGCACTCCATCTGATGGATAAGGGTTGAGCTTCCCATAACTTTAGGCCTTAGGCATCATTACAAGAAAGAGAGAGTGAATGAGAAAGTGCGCGCAAGAAATTGGGCCCCAGGCAAAGGACAAGAAGTAACCCATCACAAGAGCTATCAATTGACTGGTTGGAGGAAATGAATCAAAGAACAAATAAATAAACAGACTGCAGAGTGGGTTGCTGCCCACCGGTTATTAAATGGGGGTTGGAGAGGCGCACTCCTGCCCTTCCTTATTCCACAATTAGTACATTGATGGTTGTGACTTTCATCTACCATATCTGGGGTAGAGAAGGAACTTTGTCCACAGGGACATGACGTACAAATTTGTAGACAAGGATCAGGGTAACGTATCCAATGTCTCCCTCATTTTGTTGCCCAGTTTTGTGTGGGGCTTCAAGATATAATGTCACTGTTATTTGGAATAGTGGGTTTTAAAATGAACAGAACTATGCATTTCTTAAAAAAGTTGATTTGCATTGCTGCATTGTCTGTGCTAAGTACAGAAGACATGGGTTTAGTTTCATTTCAGATTTATTCTGCAAGGCTTAAGATCTTGAAGTGAATAGTTAAGTGCATTAGAAACAAGGGTAGTAAAAGATTAAAAAAAAAAACAAAACCTGCATTGCCTAGTGACAAAAATCTGGTATTACGGAAAGACAGAACCATTCAGAAGGTCAGGCAGTGTGTGCAGGTTTGGGCAAAGTGGAACGGTGTTGAAAAAAAAAAAGTCAGGGCTAGGGAAAAAAGTCCTGATTACCTTTAATGAAAACTGCAGAAACATAAACCTGCTTGAAACAGAACATCTGGAAAACCCACATCTCCTTTGGGCATTTCAAGGTGTTTAACCATCAAGAAGGTTCCAGAAACCCATTGCAGCCATGCCATCTGAACAAATGAATTTTAAAGTGTAGACGGGATCTTTCATTAGGTCTGATGTGGAAGGTTAAAGGGTTGAATCTTTATAGTTCCCTTGTGTGTAGTAAACATTGATATCCTTTTGTTGCAAGCTCATTTGGCAGCCACCCTTGAAAATGTTCAGTGATTGATTTCCATGGTCAACAAATATCAAAAATAAATCCAAATGGTCTACAAAGCCAGATTTCACTCTGGGACTGAACAGGTCCAGTATTATCATCAGCTGGGATCATAGGAAGGTGCATGAAGCCTTGTGTATACCTTCAGTAACAAACATCCACTGTCACTGTATACTGTAGGGATATTTATCCCCAGTGTCATGAAGGACGGACCTGGTCAAGTTGCTGTATAATGCTACAGGCATTTGGATCACGCGCTGCCCACTTTCACCCCCAGCCTCACGCAAAAAAAAGTCACTTTGACCACACGTCCATCCGTTCGTGTGGACATTACCGTGAACCGCTGTGGGAAAAGGAGGGGGTAGATTCTTTTGGATTGCTTCCGGTCAACATAATTTGGCAGAATACCTCATTGTCAGAGATTACAAACAGACACCAAGATGCAGCTTGACTGGTGATGGGAAGGGGTCTTTCCATCAGATTCTTCCTGTACGCCTGGAGTGTCACCCCTTCCACACTCACTGACCTCAAGCTGACTGTTGGTGAGACCTCCTTCAGGTATGTACCCTTGCAAAGGCCTGAAAGAGAGATGCGGCGCGTTTTGTCCAGGATCGTCCCAAACAGATCCATGGTACAGGAATCTGTGCTGTACAGACAGAGGAGAGGAGATAAACAGCAACTGCTGCTGGAGGACCATCAACTCAATGAAAGGTATACTTTGTTCTGCCTGAAATTGCTAGTATTCCAGTACAAAGAGCTGTCCTTGAACAAATGCTGCTGAGAGTCACAATCCAAACTTCAGGATGCACTGCCTGGGGCAAAGACTGTAAAAGCTCAATGGACAAAGAATCACAGTCCAAAAGTCCACCTGCTGTAGGAAACGGAGTTTAAACACCTCTAGCGGTATCTTTGCCATAGAATGTGTGTTGTAATTATCATTTGTAATTGCAATTGCATTCAGGCACCTCAAAGAGTCAATGCTGCGTGGAAAGAACATGAACTGGATTACACCAATGATGATGTCCAAGTTGAATTCTTATGATATGTAATTGTACAATTTTTCCCGAATGCAATACAGTTTGAGAAAAAGAAAGATTTCGGCTATACAAAGTTTGTTCCTTTAAGGGCAGTTGTAAGGTTGCAAATAAATCAGCAAACTAATTTCCTCAAGATTTAACAAACTTGTTCTGAGGAATTCAAACAGGAAACAGGTCTTTTGCATATGCATGCCACTTTTGATCACTTTGTTAAGCATTTAGAAATAGTTCAGTCAGTGAACTTATTGCCCGAAACCTGTGTTCACTTCCGGCTGAACTGGTGATTTAGGATTCCATTTCAATTGCAAACTTCAAGGCTGCTTGGTCTTCGGTTCGCAGCAGTTGTAGTTGTTAAACTTTAAGATCTCTGATAAGTGGCATGTTGGCCTCCCATTATAACAACTTTACACCAATCCATTGAAGCAAATAAACAAGACACTGGTGAAAAGTAAAGTGTGCCCAAGTGATTTTCTTCTTATCACTACTCTGTACCTCTTCTGCCAAACTAAGAGCAACTCAAAGATTGTTTCCTCACCTGGG